CGATACCAACTTTTACGAGCGACTTGATAGCTGTTGGATATAACGTACTAGACAGCTAATGTGCGTATGGAAGACTAGAAGAGAAACAAGACATTGAGACTTTGTAGCACAACAAAAATATGCTTGATTGTTTTACAGCAGCCTTTGATGCGTACATTAGCTATTTAAGAAATGGTATCGGTCAACTATGAAGCCGCTCTTGAAAGCTGGTATCGTCGCTTCGACATCTGTGTACTGAACGTCAAATGTCTGTTTTTGGGGTGTTACATATGGGGACTAGGGTGCCTCAATGTCCTTCTGTTTAGGGTGATGCCATCGTTTGTAGTACCCGATGCCGACAGCACGCGCACGCAGGCAAAATACATAGAAATCGCAGGAAACAAAATGTCGCCGTAGCACAGTCAGCGCCACGAGCACGTGCAGGGACACGCTCTTTCACGCGCTTCAGAACAAAAAATAAAAATAAGCGTTCGAAACAAAATGGCCAGATGTCATCACCCCAAGCAAAGCGCACATGAAGGCACCCTAATGGGGACAAGAGGTGTAATCCTTTAGACCACCTATTCCTTAGAGCGTGCCTCAGACTAGATGGTGCTGGCTACCGCCCGATTCAAGCAATACCGACATTATTCACCATCCATGTGTCAAGCTGACGGTTATTGCATGTCTCCATGCATTTACCTGGGGACGCTACTGGCCGCTGGGAGAGTTTGCTGACGGCCAAGTGGGCCGCTGGAGGTTATCGAAGTGTCCGCTTTTTGGTTCCCTTTTTTTTTAATTGATGTGAAAGAAGGAAGCCAGAGAAATTAGCCGCGAAGGATCTCCTGAGTTTCTAGTCTGGTTAGAGGGAAGAGATGTGGGTAGAAAGATATAGTAAGTGTTAAAAACGCAGGAAAATAAATAAAAATGAGATGAAGAAAAGTAAAATCAGTGTATATCTTGTCACAGCGTCAGAGTTTCCTGTTGAGACCGGTCGCCGATAGGTACCGCAAGAGGGCATTTGCTGCTTTTGTGGCAGAGGCTTCGTTTTCCCATGGTCCCAGTATCTTGCAGACGGTGAGGTCTTCTCCAGAACGTAGTTGCATTTCTTTTTGCAGTTGAGTGCGTTCTTCTTCATACTGAGGACATTCCAGCATGACGTGTTCTAAGTCTTCTGTAATTCTGCAGTGATAGCACTGTGGAGAGGCAATTCTACTTATGCGGTATAAGTATTGATTGGTGTAAGCTACTTTTAAACGTATTCGGTGTAGTACAGCTTGGTGCCGACGAGTGAGACCACGAGGTACGCGAAACGTTAGGTGAGGATCAATAGCTTTTAAGTGTGTATCTTGATTGGTTGCGTTAGCCCAGAGGCGTGCAGTTATAGTCTTCGCCAGGACTCTTATTGTACTATTTATGTCCGTTCTAGTAAATGAGGCTTGAACTTCGTGTGTAGAAATTTGAGCATCTGCTGCCACAGCGTCAGCCAATTCGTTGCCTTGAATGCCGCAGTGACTTGGTATCCACTGAAGACCATATTCATTACCTTGACAAACTGCGTCCCAATGTAGTTTGAGGATGTCCTAGCTGTCCGTATAAGCTTTTCTTACATGGGTGCTGGAGTGACTGAAGTGATGATTTAGAGTCTGTTATTATTGTCCAAGGTCGAGGAGGAATTGTTAGAATATATCTCATCGCTTCACGAATAGCCACCAGCTCGGCAGCTGTGGACGACATCCTATGGGAGAGCTTATAAACCTTTTTTAAGGAATGTGCGGGAACTACCATACTAATAGAGGGCTGATTGAACGTTGTGGACGCGTCAGTGTAAATTTGACATGAAGGTAAGTGTTCAAAATGTATGTAAGATAAATAAAGAGAGCTGTCAAAGAGCGACAGCGGGGAGCATTGATTTTTTTGTAATACCCGGAAAAGTGCTGTAGATCTTAATTCTAGGTAATGACCACGGAGGAGTAGAGATTAAATTGTATCGCTGAAAAGATGTTGGAAGAATGTGCGTGTTATCGAGGATCTCTTGTGTAATGCGGCTGTAGAAGCACCTTTCCGGGATGTCCGCTAAGCGATGGGCCTGGTGCCTCGTAAGATGGCGCATATGATTTCGAAGAGTTTCCCGCGTACGAGGAGCTGCTATGGACAGACAGTGGGACTCTGCTATTGTGTCATGGTGGATGTACATTTAGGAACACCTAGACAAACTCTGAGCGCCTGTGCTTGTAGTGAGTGTAGCTTCTTCGTGTTAGTCGGAGAGAGGCATGCCTTACAGGAAGGCGGTAACGAAGAGTTCAAACAAATAAGCTATTATACAGGCGAAGGAGGGCACCTGCTGAAGTTCCCCAGGTTGTTCCGCTTATAAACCGGCCAAGGTTAGGAAATGAAGACAACTTCACTTTCAGATGAGCTAACCTGTTTTTCGCCTCTTTCTCCTCCTTTTCCTTTTTCCATGCGCGGCGGCGCGCGCGGCGCCGCTATTCGCCAAAATTAGTAATGTGACGAGGAAAGCATCCAGCATCATGCAGGAAAGCCGGCACTAAGGCCCTCAGCCGAGGCTGGATACGCAACTGTGCTACCGTAGGTAGCTAAATACAGAAACTCTAACACTTTCAAAAGTCCGACATTTTGTTGCAATCCCAGAAGCTCCAATATTGCTTCCCTAAAGCCTGTTTCACATGCAGCGATTTTGGTCCTAAAGCGGCGCGATTCCTGCCGTCGCGGCGCTCGTGCCGCAGAATTGCTGGTGCTGGCCAGAGCGCCGCGACGGCAGAAATCGCGCCGCTCTAGGGCCAAAACCGCTGCATGTGAACTAGGCTTAACGGCGGTGATAGCAAATCATGAGCGGCTAAACCAAGCACCATCTATTTCGTAAATCAAATGTGACGTAAAGCACCAACATTTTTCTCCTTTCTGCTTAACGTTTTCGAAGACGTTCGCTTTTCCTGGTGTGGAGAAGTTGTGTGGTGCCGCCATCAGAACGTCGGGTTCGGTGGGTAGACGGAACTTTGGAAAGTGTCTATTGAGGTCTCAAGGCCGGTTCACACAGTTGCGTTTGATTGCGTTTGACTGCGTTGCGTCGAGTACCGAAAGCGAGTCAGCGGCAGATCTGTGGTTTGTATGAATCGTGGAATGCAATTCAAGGAATCATCTTGGCACGCGATATAAGCAGCAGGGATGTCCTGGGTTCTCGCGACCTCAACGCAGTCAAACGCAGTCATACGCAACTGTCTGAACCAGGATTTACGATCTACCTACTGCACAGGACGAGAGGAAGGTTGGCCATTAAATTGCTTTGCAAACCTGCGTAATATTATTTTTCTCGGGTGCTACGCTTCTGGTTCTAGTTTCTATAACCGCATATTCAGATACCCAGTCAAAATTGGAACATATAATAAAGATGATTAAAAACACTTTCAGCCTTTCCACTTTGGTGAAGAAGACCAGCGGAGCTGTACAATAGAAAGTAATGGCCGGCCGCAAGTCCGTAAGCCAGAGTGGAAAGGCTGTCGCCAACTACGAGCGACGGAGGCAACCAGATACGGGGCTTGCCGCCGTCGCTCATAAATGGTGGTAGGTGTCCAGAGTTTGGTGTCTTCATTTGTTTGCTGGGGACACGATCCTGAGTAACTAGTCCTTAACAGCTCCACTGTAATTATATTTTGCGGCTGGTGCTTCAAGCTCAACAGTGCTTTGACGGCCTTCACTCTGCTCCCTGGGAAATGGAGCGTGCTATTCACCGCGTAGCCCCTTCACTAACGACATCGCTCGTAAACCAGAAACCCACTTTGTAAGGCCCCTCTCTATGGCACGTGCACCCATTTGACAGCCATGGCGAAGCTTGCCTGTCGAAGTGTAGGCTTTGGAACAACTCCCACACGATAAAAAAGTCGCAACTCTCGCAACCTAAAGGGGCGCACTTAGGCCTATCAAAATATCACAATAAAGTCGACTTTATTGTGATATTTTGATAGGCATTTTCACAACAATAAAGGGCGCCACTTTTCTCAGCATGGAGGGATCCCTCCATGCTGAGAAAAGTGGCGCCCTTTATTGTTGTGAAAATGCTCGAGACACGTGTCGCGAGCCACTTCTGGGAAGAACATGGCGTCTAGAATCTATCTAAGTGCTACGCTGTGCCGCAATGAATTTCCCAAGGGCTGCATGTTGCTCGTGCCTCGTAGATCGACGCACCTTGCGCTACTTTTCAAACGTGAAGTGGCTTTATATCAAAAAAGTGTGCCTTTATCACGGTGGCCTTTTTACACAAACGCGCTTTTGTTTGAGTGGTGACGTTGTACTGACACCTCAGTCATTTCTCTACCCTAATTTAATTTCGATGTCTTCGAAGCGCGCGAACTCCGGCGTGACTAAACGAAGGCGCGTAGCTTTAGCTACTGATTAGACGCCATTTTAAAGCATAAGTCACGTACTGAACTGCGCCAGCGTGTCACGCGCTGACCCCCTCAGTGCAAGAAAACATGTATTTTCCCCGCGACAAACAAACAGCGCGCCTACAGAATAGGGCACCCACTAAGAAGCACATCACATTGTCAAATTTGTTTTTTCATCTTTGCTTTTTTTTATTAATTTGTAATGACGTTCAATTTTTGTTATGATCGTTGTCATACGAGCCTTATGTTAGCTTTGATGTCCTTGTAATCCCTCTATTTATTCTAATTTGTGAAAATGAACTGATAACAAATTACTATTATTATTATTATTATTATTATTATTAGAAATATAATAATTTTTTAGTCTTTTTGCTTTCGACTGTCGTTAGCGATGAAGAAGTTTCACACCCTCGTGCTGTCCTGTTCGCTTCGCGGGTGCCCTGCGCTTTGCAAATGCATTCGGGGAAGGAATGCAAAATGCAGCCGTTCTAGCCAGTGCGCCCATTCCGAGGTACGCCTAAAACACATTGAAAACCAACGCGGTGGATAATATTTTGTTCTTCGCTCGGACTTCTGTTCAAATCGTGACTGAAAGTAAAGCGAAAGCGGAAGCTTGCTATGCACGAGTCGAGCGCCGAGTACGTCATGCAACGTGTCAACAAGGACTTGCGTGGCAAACGGACTGTCTCAGTCAGCAGCCGTCTGCGTACCTTGCTGAATGAGAAGAAGTGGCAAGTCATATTTGGAAGTTGCCTGATTCTCACCATCACTGCAGTCGCCATTCCTGCCGGCGTGAGCCACACGTTGCGGGAATCGGGACCACAGCCCTCACCTCCTCACAACACCGCCGCACAAGGCGAACCTGCTGAAGGACGGGCGAAGAAGCGACGCGTTGACCACGGAAACACAGCCGCTGAGACCGCAAAACGCCTACAGCCGGTTGCCCACGCCGCACCGCTGAACCGCCGCAAACCAGGTACCAAGAAGCAGCAGGAATCCCAGGCCGCATTGATAAACCACCTCAAACCAGGGACCAAGAAGCAGCAAGACACACAGGCCGCAGCACGGAACGACAAAACACCAGGGGCCAAGAAGCAGCAAGAGGCCTTCAATGAAGTGCGTGGGCAAGAAAACTCGACGGAGCTACCCGAAACACAGCCACAGCCACAGTCACCGCCATCGCCACCGCCACCGCCGCCAACCGCCGCCCCGCCCGTGTCCGAAGAGCCCTCTACAGTTCATCCTAAAAAAACGGCGCTGTTCGCGGAGCACAAGCAAGGTGTTAGCGTTCAGGCGGAAGGCATATATAGGTTTTCTCCCGTTCCCGAGACGGCACCGGGCGACCACTACGTAAAAGATCTGCGACTTCCCAAGACAGTCGAGCCACTCGAGTACAAATTGAAGTTTGAGCCCGTGTACACGGATCAAAGCGTGTTCTTCAAGGGTCACGCGCGCATCTTCATTCTGTGTAAGGAAAACACTAAAATGATTCAGATGCACGCATCCAATCTTATAATCGATCGATCCAACTCAAGTCTCACTACGGTCGATCAGAAACCCGGACCAGAAATTCTCAACATTCGCACGAACGACTTCTCCCAGTTCCTCTACATTTACCTCGCCGACGATATAATCGCTGGCGAGAAGTATTACCTGAACATTCCCTTCACCAGCATTACGTTTCATGACAACGGCTTCAACGTACGCCACTACACTAGAGACAACGACACCGTGTAAGTGTGCCTTTTCAGTTAAATTGTAAAGAAACTAGACGCAAGGAAAGGTTTCCAACCCCGCTCTACTTTACGCGGCTTGCACTGACCTGACTCCGTATTATGGTCGGGTGGCTTCGCTGCTGATACACTCATGCTGGTAGCTCGTATCAACGTTGCTAGATTGGTTGGCTTGTATAGACCTTTGCATTGCTTATCCCCCGGCCGAAATATGCTGAGTCACGAAAATGTGGGCGTGCGCAGGGTCTGAAAAACCCCACAGCACAGCAGTAGTGCATTCTCACAAGGCGTTCCACAGCCCAGCAGAGAAAGATAGAAGCGCGCAGGTGATTTTTGCAAAGGTCTATACACCAACACGCGAATAAGGTATTACGCAGCTGCGCTGACGATGCAGTTGACGCAGCGCATGCGCAGACGGATCATTTGACGCGGATCCGGTTTCTGCGCACGCGAAATGCCCACACGAGGCTTGGGCAAACGCTGACTTCCTTGCCAACGGTGTGTTGGTTTATACGTGCACAATGTACATTTACCAAAAATCCCAGAAGGCGCGCGCGAATTCCTGCGCTCGCCCCCTTGCCCTTACGTGGCACTGAAGAGGGCGAGATGGCACCGCAGTGCTTGCCTGCCTTTGCCCACTCGCCGTCGTCCTAAAGGTCACTTCTGTTGCCTGCTACAACCAGATGTTCCCCTGAGTTTCCGACATGCATTTCGGCGCAGCGGACGGCGCTGCACATTTTGCAACGATGTCTATTCCAAGAGCGGTGTTTTGGCTGGAGACCCTTGCGCACAGACCAGCACGTGAAAGTAACGTTGACAAGCTTGTAATTGGACGTGCTTCTATTAGCGATCGGTGGCATGGTAGTGGTCGAGACGTCTTTGTTGCTTTTGCAAACATTATAGCAAGTAATAATGAGTTACATTGACTCCACTTTATATACATCGTCCACAAGCTAATATAACGCGGACACTAAGGAAAGTCTAGGGTTTGCGGGGGAGAATGGGCCGGGGGGGGGGGGGGGGGCGTGTATAACTCAATAACTGCTTAGTGTAGTATATAATTAATGTTTGTAGATTATTTTACATCGCTTTCACCCCTTCTTCAAACGGTGATATGAGCTTTCCGTTCTGACGAGTGTATTTTGTACCGCTCGCTATTTTAGGACAAATATGGGGTTTTCAAGTGTTTAAGGGGGGATATGGTGCTTTAGAGTAATTTGCTTATTTGTGAGATAATACTTATCACAATATACACCGATATAACCCCCTCGCGCGTATTTCAAATATGCAATCAGATATTGAATATCTTTAGTGATACCCGAGTTATGGAAGATAGGTATATATTGACTAGGTCATTTGCTAACGGTAGTTGAAGAAGGTTATTCTTGAATTATCGAAATTTTTAATGCAACTGCATTCACAAGGGTGTGATTTGTGCGGTGATGCTATCTTAGATCTCACCTGAGAGGATTATGTTACTAAAAGCGATTATAATTATCGTGTAAAAATACACGCTTTATCGTCATTTAAGAAAGTAATTAATTAGATAGAACTCCTACCTTGGAAAAAATAGCTTCAACGCACATTTCCTTTCTTTTCGATTAAAATGGCACCGAACATGTTAATATTTTCCAACACAAACTTCACAAAACGCCTGTAAGGCATTGGTACTTGGGGAAGAAGTGTGAAGAGAGAAAGAAGCACTTGAAGAATGTGTATTTCTACGGAATGTTCATAGAAATTGAAGACATCGTATTTATTTATACTTAAAATTTGTAGAGAGCTCGGTGGGTATGTCTAGATATCAGAGAAGTTATTTTCTCAAAAATGACCTTCCATCAACTTTTCACCATTCAAAGACCAGACTCCTCTCATCAGATGTTTTCCTTCAGTCACGGGAATTTATCCAGTATCATCATAGGTTCATGAGTCATAATGGCTGTACATCTTATAACGAACTACCTATGCATTGAAAAACATTTGGACTAAAGTTCAAGTCGTTAATGAACCTAATCTGCTTCTCGGAATCTACTACTTCCAACCTCATTTTGGCCTTTTAACACTAAGCCACACTTTAAACGACATTTCTACGTTAGTTGACTTTTCAGCTTATAATGTTTTAATTTCCGGTGGCTTTAATTTGCTTAGAATCGAGAGGATTTATACTTATTCAGTTACGAACAGAGTTCTGGAAGTGAACTGGTGCTACTCGATTTTGTCTATTTTAATAAAGTTGACCAAATTAACCACACTACATATTCTGCAGGACCACATCTATGATCTATTTTCCTACCAACATTCGAGAAGCCTTGGGAGGCACTGTTACCGATCCTTTTGTTCATATAGATGAGTGGGAACTTCCTTTCTCTGTAACGGTTTCATTCCCGTTTGTTAGAACTTCGAATGTGCAGCCTCCGTCGTAGAATTTTATTTGCAGCGACTACTTCGGGTTATACACGGATTTCAACAATACTGACGGGGTTGGCGCTTACCAAAGTGATGATGTTTACCGAGCTGTCGCTTTGCGAATGGGCATCATTAAGACTACTATGAATCGCTTATAGACGCTTTACACACGCGCCAGATTGAGCCGCCATAGCCGCCCTTCTCTTGCCTTACCGAGATGCCGAGCCACTGAAGCGGGCGTTGACGGGTCTTCACAAGGGCCTATGCTGGGCACAAGAACGCAGTAGCATCTAAAATGGCAATAACTTGTCCTGTTGTGGTAACGATAAAGTGAAGCGGAACAAAAACTGAAAATCAGTTATGGCGGCGCACATGCACAGCTGCCGTAAAGCGTCTATACCGGTAAAACGAAGTGGCCGAGCTAAATTTTTCTTGCGGTCTTCACGTGATCTCCGGCAGCCATTTGTCCTTAAATTTCGGGTTCGCAAAAACTGCAAGTCTTCCGGTTTGAAAAGATCGCACTCCTTACTTAAGAAACATAGATCTAGGGTGAAAATGTCGCTTTAAGGAGATGAACAGATGTGACAGGACTATTGAGTCCGACTAAACCGCCGCCCTGACCGTCTTTGGGAGTATGTTAGATACAGCAGACTACCTAATAGATCTGAGGCCATCCTACTGAAGACCATCTCAGGTTACAATTCCGATCCTCTGTGTATTTGTCCTCTGTTTTCTAAGCATTTCTCCTCTATACAAAATTTCATCACAGCCATGTCGGTTATTACTACCACGTGCCAAGGTACCTTCCGCCTTATGTTCACTCCTAAAATGACTTATAATGACGCATTTATCGCAATTAAAGAGCTTGCTGCAAAAAAAAAATCTTTAGGGAAGACGGTTACCTGCTTTCATTATCAAGAGGTGCTTTGAGATAGTGGCTCCTGTGCTGTAGCAGATATTAAATATGCCCCTTTAAACAAGTACGTTCCCCTCGGCATGAAAGAACTCTTTGATTATGCCAGTCCACAAAGCTGAAAGCACCATGTGTGTCGGCCATTATAGACCAATTGCACAGCTCTGTACCTTTTCTAAGGTCTTTGACAAATCAATTTTCTAGCGTGTCAGTTTCCAGCTTAAGACTATACTTAGTCTGCACAAGCGTGGTTTTTCTTTTCGAGCGATCTGTTGAGACAAACCTTATAACATTATTGTGAATTCGCCAAGCCTCTTGTTGGGTTTCGAGGCAGGTAGATGTAATTTTTTTGGGCTATTCTAAACCGTCCAATCGTGTAGATCACAGCCTTTGTTTGTTAGCAAAGATATCTAATTATTTGTTGGTTTTGGCTTTTGCAATTGGTTTGAAAGCTATTTGAGGGATCGTCGAAATACAGTGCCTTATTTAGGGCACAGGTCTTTTCCTCACGTCCTAAAATCTGGAATGCCACAAGGTCTAACCCCAGACCACTACTTTTTACTATACTGTACACGACTTATTTGTCGCGTGTTCAATATTTTGCGGTTTAGGCCAAAGCTGATATTTTGGAATAATTCGCGGGTTCAGATTTTCGTGACGTAGTGGGAACTCAATATAGATTCTAATGTGCTTACATTTTACTGCAAATGTTCGCTGGACCTTTTTTTTCAAATTGTAGACGATTCACGAAATTCGGGACATTTAGGTCCTCCCGAAAATTAAGTTGTTTACAGTATTTGTGAATGATTTTGCGACTAGTGTAGGCGATTCGGGGGTGCTTCAATTTGCTGACAATATTAAAATGTATTGTATTATTAATACTATAGGAAAATGTGACCTCTTACAGCCTGACATTAATGCCATACATTTTTTATATGATGTCAAATTAGTTATCTTTAAATCTCGTAAAAACTAAAGTTGTTTCTTTCTCGCCAGGATTGATGACGGTGGGATAAAACCCGATATTAGGATTGCAAAAGTAAAACGACAAAGTTAAATATTCTGAAAATATTATAGCATAATTAGGAGGGCATGTGTGCATTTTGTTATTAGTTTTACATTGCATTCATAGCCATAGAGCGCAAATAAACAAACATTTGAATAAGCGCTGAAGCAGCGTTAGAAAGCACAATTTACAAATACAACTAGCCTTGAGAATTGGCTTTAAAGGGAGATTCTCACTTTAAAAAAAAAGGGGCACCTAAATTTCTTGATGTTACGAGTCTCTGACACGCGATGGCACCCCTCAATAATGCTGCAACCGCAAATAGAAGGTACCACAGGCCAAATGTAATTTATTTATGTATTTATATGTAGTTGTTTATTTGTTTAAAGATACCACGGCCCTCGACTGAAAGCCATAACTTGAACAAATAAACGTGATCACAGAAAGAGCGGTTTATCAAAATATGTCGCGAAGTGCACCAGTGAAATGATTAAACGAAGAATGTTTTGCCATATCATTTCTAAGCGAAAGTCAATCTGTGTTATATTATACCTCGGGTTATGTGCTCTCTTTTTTTTTCAGATGGGTCATTGGCACCAATTTTCTCCCGACCGAGGCTCGAAGCGCTTTTCCTTGCTTCGACGAGCCTGGCCTCAAATCGGTCTTCAACATGGAAGTCATCCGAGACCCCAATTTGCACACGCTGTCCAACATGCCCCTCGCCAAAGTTTATCCAAAGTGAGTTTGCTCAGTGAAAGCCTGTTTATGCGCCTAAAATTGGTTGAGAAGTATCACGAGATGCTGGCGTGTGCCTTTCACGTTATTGCAATTTCTGCCGAAACCTCGGCACGTGTGTCAAGTGAGTCAAGGACTTACTGCCAGATATTGCAGTCGAGGGAGGCGCTGTCGAGAGCTCGCTTTACTGAGTTCAGAGTGCTGTTTGTTCTCTCAAAGGAGGGCATCCGCTTGCCGCCACTTCTTTGCGCTTAAGAGCAGGCACGTGATATTAAAAGCGTGCCATAGTCGCCTTCTGGCGCATGGCTAGGTGAGGAGATGAGCTATACATGAGATAAGACGCCACCGTCGTGCCCTTAGAGGCTAACTCGAGAACTAAACATGCAGGTACAAAAACAACATGAATTGTCAGCTCGTGTTTCTGAAGCCCCACTTACCGGACTTGGCCGAACCCGGTGTCTTCGCTTGGCTGATGCTCGTGCTCAATCAGGAAAGCATCAAATGAATGACAGTGCACTCCAAACGCGTGTCAAATAACTAGTGTCCGTGCCCCTCGCTCGATAGACAAAGATGGCGTAAAGAATCCAGCCCACAGGTCTTTTGCTGGGCAAACACTGAGCTCTGTAAAAAAAACAGGCTCGAAAAAAACGTCCGTATAGTGGTGGAACGCATCTCTCGCTCGTTCTTTTTTTCTTCTTGGTTTTCAAATCGTGATTGTAATTACCATTCCTATCTAAGTTCGTAACTTGACTAAGCGTACATTAAACAAATAAAAAAAAACGCATAGAAAACCGCTGGGTAGTTGGAAAAGTTTCGGTATCTCGCTACTTCGGTGATGCTTGCATGAATCGTTCGCGTTCGGTCTTGGCTGTCGTGCACGGGTTTTAGAGAGGCCATGAAACGGTATTTCTACTTTCGCTAAATTCTACTTTGAATCACTCCCTTACGTTAACAACTGAATAAACTTGACTTAGTTTTTTTTTTTCTAAATGGCATTCGAAGACAAAAATTTTAAAATATGAGCATTGTTCGTTCCCTCAACTCAGAGCCGGAACACGTGGCCACGTAAAACCCCTTCATGTTTTAAAAGTAGCGCAACGTGAGTCGATGTTCGAGGCACGTGCAACGTGCAGTCCTTGGGAGGATCATGGCGGCACAGCGCAGCACTGAGCTAGATTTAAGACGCCATGTTCTTCCCAGAAGAGGCGCGCGGCACGTGTCTCGAGCATTTTCACACGAATGAATGACCACACGTTTTCTAGGATAGGGAAGCTTTATGGCCAGGTGACCTGACACCTACCCTAGGCCGCCAATGGTAATTACAGCCACGCGCCAGCGGGGGGGGGGGGGGGGGGGGGGGGGGGGGGGGGGGGGGGTTGGCAAAGTATTAAACGCGTGCTGAGCTCCAGGCATTTTTAGAGTTCGGCTAATCTCATCACCGGAGTGGTTGGACACGAGCCACCACCTGAGTTCCCTCCGAGGTATGGATTATTGCGTGCCGAAGCCGAGCGCTCACGTAGTTCTCGTGTCCGATCCATGAGCCGCGCTCGACTGTCGTCTGGCGGCTAGTTTTGACCTCAGATTTACGTCATCAAAGTTGGCGAAGGCAATACTAAAAAATATTAGTCCCCTTTTTTATTCTCGCTATTTCACACCAGCAAAAGAAGCTCGTTGATTAGTTGTGGTCTGTGCGAGCATAATTGGACCAGACCATGACCTGTACGCCGTCGCGAAGTCATGAACATTCCAACCCAATATCGTTTCAAGACCCCTTTAACGCGTGGCATTTACATTTGATAGCAGTTCCTGGAATAAAGATACCGACAATAATCTTTGTCTAACATCTATTGTTGTACATTCATTACGGGCAACAAACCGCACAATGATTTTTGTTTGTTGATAGTTTCAGTGTTATCACTTTATCGCGTTTTTTTTAAACTTAGTAGTCGGGCCTTTTTAACTTAGTAGTATGGTAGTTTCGACTTGAAGGTCGAAACTATAACCTTATTTTGTGAAAAGATACGAAAATAGTTGAGGATAAAAAGTAAGTTTAGAGCTGAAATATGTGGCCACCGAGAAGAGGCAGAAGCGCGAAAAAAATAAAGAGGTGCCTTCCTCTTGCCACTAATTTTTTACAATATGAGATCCTTTACATGTGGTTATCGAATGCCCATATATTACTGACATTTTATAGTTATCCCTAGAAGTCACGCAAAAGAACCATTTTCGGCCTTCGCGTGGTGTGTCCCACAGGAAGAAAGCTCGAACTTACAACCTTACTAGTTTCATTTTCAATTTTAGTTCTGTGTTTTTATATTATACTGTTAAAAATAATGCTTTAAAAATAAATGTTTTAGGCCATGTTTGTATATCTAGTATAGCGCCTGTCCTGTATACTTCTTGTCCTTGTGTTTTTCGTGCTATTTTATGTTTTACTTTGTATATCTCGTAAATAAAGGGTTAAAAATGAACCAATCAGTCTCGAGCTTTGGTAAGTCGTCATGCCTGACGTCATACCTGGCTCAGCCAATCAGCATCGAGTTAATCGGCGACTTTTAAGCGCATTTTATTGTCCTGTTCTCCCCACTCGTGCGTATATAAGCGCGCTACCTTGTTCTCTTTATTCTTAAAATGTAAATGATATAAGTGCGCATAAAATTACGTCCGCTCAGAATACCAATACAGGAATTCCAAAAACGAATGGTCAAATGGTCTGTAGCGTGGTTTTTATACTTCTCTCTTTTCTACTTTTTTCGCAGATCAAAAGGAAAACAGGCTGACACGTTTGTGAAGACGTTCCCCATGTCAACGTTCTCGGTTGGATTTTTCATCTCCGACTTTGTGTCATACGGAAACACCTCGGTAACGTGCTTCTTAACTGAAAATGTAGTGTACATTGATGAAACCATAAGATAAGTCCCCTCAATCTTTCATGTTAAAAACGCGTTCAAAAGAGCGTTTGAAAAACGCCAGGTTCATCAGAATCGGCCGGACTTGTACGGCACTCATCACAAGTAATCGAATTAATTGTAAGCGATTACGTTTCAAAATATCTCGTACTAATTCGATGAGGAGGAGGAGGAAACTTTATTATTCTTCCGGGATCAGGTATTGGGGGTGGCGGAGGCCCAGAGGGCCGCCGCGATCGCCAGGGCCCGTGAGGTGGTCAGGACTTGGGCTGACTCCTCCGGGTCGCGCAACATCTGCTCTTAAAGGTGAGGGGATTGAAGAGGGGGGTATGGGTATGGCGGGGCATTCGCAAAGGGAATGATAATGAGTGTCGAGTGCCCCGCAGGCAGGACAGGCGGGGGAGGTAAAGTGGTGTGGGTGAGTGTGTATTAGTTGTGTGACATTGATTACTATATAATCACAAGGGTCATGTGACTACTTTTGGAGGTACTAAAATTACTCGTAACCCCCATTTTTCCCCTCTCCTTTTTTCCCCTCTCTCCAGTAATGATCCAATTTAATACTTTTCATGCCTTAGTCATTGTAATGCAAATCAAATGATCTATTTTTTTTTTTGTAACGTGTACAAGTCTAGGATTGGCCGACTACGAACTTAGTTTCTCCTTTCTGTCCAGCTGCGTCTTTCGTCTTCTCAAAAACGCCTTCCGTGTCACGTGTCAACACTTTTCTCACTCCAGATGCATTGCCACCATCGCCGAGAATACTTCCGTCGTAACTCGACATGGCTGTGTCGTCTTTGATAGCCGCGACGTTTTTGATGCAAGCATTTTATGCTTACTACCTAACTCGGTGTCCGAGAAAGAACTGTGAATTTCATTGGTGACATTACTATTGATATTGCAGTCACGTTCGAAGTTGATGATTGGAAGCTTACATTCAAGTTGAGCGTGTTTTTGCCATCTTTTTCAGTTTAAGCTGTGGACGCGTCCCGGCATTTTGAAGGACGTGGATTTTCTATTGGAGCTTGGTCCCAAAATCCTCAAATTTTATGAAACGTATTTCGCCATGCCGTACCAAGTTCCCAAGATGGGTGAGAGATGGGGATCTTGCAATTTTATGTAATATTTGCTTTGAGCGGAAAACAAAGGCAATTTCTTGCGCACATTTCGTTCAGAAAAGTTTTCGTTTCTTGTAAACTCTTTAGCTACCAATTTGAGTGTCCTTCAAGGTATATTTTCACAGCGCACATGACACTCGATTGGAATCATGTTGATGTTACGTCAATCTGCCATTAACTAGCTCACTAACAATCCAAAACAGTTTTGGAACTTAGTCAACCCTGCCGACAAACATTTAATACAAATTAAAAATTCAGGCGGAGAGGTGATTTCTGGTGAAGATTGCGCTATGACTTTCAACGAAAGTTTCATCAGTGTCTTTAGTGATTTCTTAGGTGCCAACCATCCCGTACTACCATCTTCTGGTTTTTTGCCCATGTTACCAATTGTGTTTGATCCACCCGGTATTGTTAAAATTATTGAAAACCTCAAGCTGTCGTCGGCATCAGGTGTCGACGAGATAAACGCGAAATTTCTAAAAAATACCAAAATGTACTCCTCAATCATCTTGTCATCTTTGTTTCAACAATCACTTGATCATGGCGTCTTACCCGAGGACTGGAAGGTAGGGAAGGTTGTTCCAATTCACAAAGCTGGTGACCGTTTCTCCCCTTTCAATTACAGGCCAATATCTCTTACTAGCGTACCCTGCAAAATCATGGAGCACATAATTTCTTCACAGCTCTCGCGTTTCCTGGAGTGCAACTCCTTCTTTAGCCCTTTTCAACATGGATTCCGCAAATCTTTCTCGTGCGATACTCAGCTTTTAGTTTTCACCCACAACCTCCACTCGGCTCTGGACCGTGGATCTCAGACTGACTGCATCTTTCTGGACTTTGCAAAGGCTTTCGATAAGGTAACACATAAACTACTACTATACAAGCTTAGCCTACTCAGTATTGATCCATATATCTTATCTTGGTTAGAGTGTTTCCTCACTAACAGATCGCAATTTGTAACTGTCAATAACAAAAACTCGTCATCGTCCCTCGTTAAGTCCGGTGTACCACAGGGTTCTGTCCTAGGCCCCCTCTTATTCTTAGTATATATAAATGACCTACCTACTAGCATTTCCTCCTCCATAAGCGTGATTGCGGATGATTGCGTTGTTTACCGTGAAATTACTAATGACTCTGACGTACACATAATTCAATCTGATTTAAATGCAATTTCTTCCTGGTGTGATGCTTGGCACATGAAACTAAACACTATGAAGTGTAAGACAATGAGGATTTCTCGCAAAGCAGCACTCTGTCCTAACTACTTCCTATCAAATAACATCCTTGAAAACGTATCAACTTACAAATATCTAGGTGTTCATATCTCTTCTGACCTATCATGGAAAACTCACACCGAATATATCGTTAATAACACTAACCGCATGCTTGGATATTTAAGACGTAACTTTTCTCTAGCTCCATCATCATTAAAATTACTACTTTATAAAACACTGGTGCGACCAAAACTTGAATATGCATGCTCGGTCTGGGATCCCGGTACAGAAAGCCTCATATCAGCGCTTGAAGCCATCCAAAACCGGTCAGCACGTTTTATATTATCAAACTACCATCGTACATCAAGCGTCACATCCATGAAAGCTAGTCTCTCACTGCCCCCTCTTTCCACTCGTCGCACTATCTCCCGTCTCTGTTTATTCCATAAAATTTACTATGCCAATTCACTCTTGAAAGAACAACTAATCAGTGCTCCCATCTACGTATCCTCTCGCCTCGGTCACTGCTGCAAAGTTGGTATACCCACTTCCATTTCAAATTCTTTTTTCAAATCTTTCATCCCAAAAACATCTCGTGATTGGAACGGCCTTCCCTCACCCATTGCGTCCATTGGCGATTTTGTCCTCTTTAAAGAAGCTTTAACAAGTTACTATTCATGATCTGTGCCGGACTAACCATTTTCAGCGTTTTTTGTACTTCCGTTGCCCACCCCCTCTGTAATGCTTCGGCCCTGAGGGTATAATAAATAAATAAATAAATAAATAGAGTGCATTAATGCCGCTTGCTGGTTGCTCCTTGTAAAGTGGCGCCATCCTTTGGTTGGGAAAGCGGCGCCTTTTACCGACCGCGGTCAACATTTTGCCTCCTCCTTTCAGACCGATGACGAAAACAAATTCATATTTGGCGGCAAGCGTGACTCAACAAGTTATTTTATTTATTTTATTTCCTTTCGCAAGTGGTAAAGTTCGCTAAATGCGCAAACAGCTAATAAACGGCCACGTATCGGAGAGAGGCAAAATGGCGCTTTCAATAACAGACGAAAGGGTTGTCCCGGCTCTGGGAGGACCGCCAGTCAATAGTACCTATAGTAGACAAGACCTGCGCATGAGGGCATCGTTTAAGCTGGTATTGCGTCCGCCCCGCAACATTGACGTGCTTTGGTACTCAAGACAACAATGATGAAGGGCCTCGGTGATTAGCCTAATTTCATCCCTGTGAACGTTCCCAAGAGTGTTGCCATCCAACGCAAACAGTACCGTAACGACAACGTAAAGTGTCAGCTTATATCGTCCCACGTGTGAAAATATAATAGCCCTTACGTACTATGTGTTGCGGAGTTCCCAACCTATTGTGTGTGTCATCGCCCTGGGCCGCTGAACTCGTCAAACACAAAGTTGGGGCCAAAATTGAAGAAGCGCACCAACTGACCTATCACGACGATGACTTCGCGCTTTTTTCGTCGCCGTCCAATAGGCGCGCTATGCAAACGTTCGGCTCTAGCTTTTTGTTTGACGAGTTCAGGGCCCCAGGAGTGCGACAAAAGTACAGTCAACACGAAACGAAACCCGAACGCCGGAAAGCGTGGCCGTTGATACAGGCTGCTTCACCTGGACGGCCCCCGAGAACTAATGAAAATGCGCCGTGGTGCGAGGGTGCGGGTCCTACTAAGATGAGCTCGACCCTCGCGCGGCGCGTCTGGGACTTCCGCGTTTCGCCGGTGGCGCGCTGTAAGCGCCGTCACATCCGATACATTTTAAAGTACTGTCACTCGCTTTGTGTATCGGATTTCCAGCGACATCTCTTCAGCGCTGTCATTCATTATCGCTTTGTGTACCACAAGGACATAATGAAAGTTAAAACATTTCGTGCACAGAAGACCCTTAGTGCTTGATGACGTGCCAGCGCCACGCGCGGTTTCTGAGAAATAGTGAAACGTCTTAAACACAAAATAAAATTTGTTTATTTGCACGACCATACCCTTTATGAAAAAAAATACTGCCACACACGGACGCGAATGCCTCGGTTTTTATGAACAATGCGCATGTTTTCTTGCGAGCTTATCATTCGCTTCTTAAAAAGCGAGGAATTGCTTGCTGACGCTCGCTTTTTTAGCCCCCGATATGGCAGAAGTGTCGATTCCGGAGCGAAATAAATTCATCACCCTGCCTGAGCAGGTCCTACTGCAAAGACCTATAGTCAGGTTAAGCGGTCGAACGGTGTCGACCGGGCGACATTGGGGCGACAGTGCAGCGACAGAAAAGTACACCGAGTGACGGCGCTTACAGCGCGCCACAGGCGAAACAGAAAAGTTCCAGACGCCCCGCGCAAGGGTTGCGAACATCTTTGTAGTACCCGCACCCTCGCACCCAGGTGCGAGGGCGCATTTTTTTTAGTTCTCAGGGGCCCTACAGGTGTACGAGCCACGCGCTCCTGCGTTCGGGATTCATTCCGTGTTGATTGTACGTGACATACACATGCACGGTGAAAAAAATTACTGGGCCACTTAATACTGCTTACATGTAGGAATGCGAAAGCATTCGTAGAAGCAGCGAATTCGTACAAGCAGCGCGCCCCGCTCTCCTCCGCGGAGAATGGGCCAACGGGCGCATGCGGCGGCCACGTGCGCGCCAACCTCTCCTTTTTCCGCCGCGCGTGCAGCAGCGCCAGGCAGAGGGCTTCTCTGTAACGTGGCGTTCATTGGAACCCTGACGCGTCGCAGCCAATAAGAATTTATCTGTAGTTTCACTCAGCCGGAATCGGGGTGCCGTTTCGCAAAGCCGGAATTTAGCTGTCGTCTTTCACGGTTACAGACAACGCCGGCTGCGCTCCATGGGACCAGCTAATGCTTTCGCATTAAAAGGCTAATCGGAAGACCACTATTCCAAGGAACAGTAGTGCGAAATGCATGGCCCATTCGTGGCTTTCATTATTCCAGAGAACTAATTTCTGTGGCCTTTTCAGCCAAAAGAGCAGTGCGCGTGCACAGCTTTAAGCAGCGTTTATGCACGCGCCTCCGTACCTTTCATAGCATAGCCACATAAATCTGTCCATGAGTACTTTTTTATATGTGGTCCTTCGACCAGTATAAGGAGTATTCACTGGGCGCCATATTTGTGGGTGCTGTCTAGAGCGCATGCTCAGAACGAGCCCACATTAATAGGCTGCTAAGACCGGCACTCTTGAGGGTGCGGAATGCAGGTTACAAAAGAACTGTGGAAGCTCGCCATCAGCACGCGCACAGCAGTCGCGCACACAGCTATGGCCGCCAGTGAATACTTCCTATAGCTTCAGCAAAATTACCAGTGTACAAGGGAGCATGCAGTGAAAATACTTGCACACGCTGCATTTGCGGACTCATGTGACAGCAATTTTGTTCGAGCAAAACTGCAAGTGTCAAAGGCACGTGCCTTTGCCAATTAACTATTTTGGGTATCTACTTCGTATATTTTATACAGGTATAGTAAGCATGAGCAGATCGGCCACCTACATTCCCAGCATTGTTTTTGGCGCGTTTGTAATCTGAGAAAAAGTTCTCTATTACGACGTCTGCCTACGTGATGCAGAAGAATCCTCAGATTAAGGGCAGACATGTTTCTGGGTGCTGTGTGCCGTTTTAAGCCACAGAAACATGGTCCCCGAGATAGTAGGACATTCTACTTTCGCGCCATCTCTTGGTTGTTATCGGCGAACTATTTTAAAATTTTGATTTCAGCTAATCGAAAAGAAACATCATCACGGCAGTAATACAGTAGGGATTCTTGCCATTTAAAACCCCAGGGATGATTTTTTTTTCTTTTTGTTTTAGTTCTAAACCATATTTCATATTGTCTAACTATAATTTCATATTGTTTCATATTGTCTAACTATAATAGAACTGCAAGCATCAGTACAATGAAATATAACCTTGATCTGCCATCCCTAACATCCCGCCGCAAAATCTCTCGTCTTTGTCTCTTTCACAAACTGTTTCTTCATCCCTCCTTGCGCGCCGAACATATTTTACCCCCCCCCCCCCCCCCCCCAATACATCTCATCTAGATTAGATCATGTTCATAAAGACGGGATTCCATCGTGTAGAACTAATGCTTTTTTTCAGTCATTCTTTCCTCGCACATCAGTGGAGTGGAATGGCCTTCCCGCCCCGACAGCAACAATCAAAGATCCCCAGCAGTTCAAGAACGCCATAGCTAACATTGTATAAATAAGAGTCAATTTACTGTACTAATAACCACTGCATTTTTTAACTTTATACTTATACTTTGTACCCACTCCCCTCTCTAATGCCTTTGGCCCTGAGGGTATATGAAATAAATAAATAAATAAATATATATTTTGAACCTTTTTATTTTTGTGTTCGATCCCCCCAAACAATCCTTTCTGTACAATAAATGTTAGCACAACATACTGAAGAATCATAATATTCTGGAGTCTTGTAACGGCATCAGACTCGAAGCACTCATCTTGAATACGTTTCGCTTGCTTCTATAAGGAACGAAACGTTCCTCAGCCAGGTCCAATTAGATAAGTTTATACGCAAGAAACGAAAACGCAACGGTCTTTGTAACAATTTGTCCCCGTACGAAGTCCACCTCGTCTGAATACACCTTGAACATAAACGTTTTTTTTTCAACCTGCAGACGTGGTCGCAATGGAGCATTATATCAACGACGTTCAGAACATGGGTCTCCTCTATCTTCCGGAAAACATCGCCTTTTACGATCCGGAAGAAGCGTCCGTTGTCAAAAGGCAGAGTGTTCTGCTCGCCCTGTGCCACGCATTCTCGCACGAGGTCAGGGCTTTCATCATTTTCCTACGCACTGGCATCGGCTGCTAGATTCATTTACGGGGACACGAGTTTTTTTAATCGTTTTTTTGGGGCGAAGCTCCTTAAGGGATAGCCATGTCCGTATGTCCGTCCGATATCCGGCGTCGTGTGCTCGTGCTCACGTGCACGTGAGCACGTGCTCCCGTGCTCGTGTAGGGCAAAAGAAAACAACAACAACAACAACCGCATCTCCACGGGGTGAATGATGTTGATTATGGCGAAGCTCTGGTGGTGCTTGTCTGCTTAGACGGTGAGCCGCAGCATGTCGAGCCTTTCGTTCGTTTTCATCCATGTCAGAAAGAGAATGTGTGGTATGGAACGTGGTTATAGGAAGTATTCACTGGCTGCCATATCCGTGTGCGCTGCTGCTGAGCGCGTGCTGACAGCGAGCTTCCGCAGTCCTTTTGGAGCGTGCACTTAGCACCATCAAGGTTACCGGTCTTAGCAGGCTATTAATTTGAGTTCGTTCTGAGAACGCGCTCTAAACATCGCCCTCCAATATGGCTTCCAGTGAATACCTCCTCTACACGCATTTGAGCATTTGACCGCAGCGTGACATGGATGAAAACGAACGAAAAGCTCGGCATGCTGCGGCTCAGCGTCTACGCAGACAAGCACCCACCAGATCTTCGCCCCAATCAACATCATTCACCACGTCGAGATGCGTTTTTTTTTCTACCACGAGACTCCATTGTAACATAAAATCCGGAACTGAACTCAGTTTAACGATGTTTATTTTAACATGCGGTCTAACGGGAGCACCAAGTGGCGGCCGTACGGAAGACGTTTGGTGGTAAGCTCCGCGCACACGCGTGCTGCTCTCATGCCCGAATTCTTTGTGAGGTACTCTACGACTAACCGAAGAGTGACGCTTGATATCCGAATTTGCTCGAAACAAGGTAACTTGCTAGAAATAACTTAGGGGGTGTGGTATGACGATATTGCGCATAACGAGCTTCCGCGCCCCATCTTTGTAAGCGATTTATTTGTTACTTATTTAAATAAGAGGCGGCCCTTCATTGCGCCGGCCTAGCATCCGCAGTTTCCACCGAAACACATCTACATACCCGCCGCCATGCGCAGAAATCTTATCAGCAAACTGTTTACAACTCTAGGCAAAAGGAAATGACAGGTGTGAGAGTTGAAATACGTGGAGAGTGCAGACTTCGTATTCATGCACTCGACAAAGCCACTGAGGCTAAGTCCCTGTTTTTTTTGTTTTTTTTAAATTCTTGGCTTGGTTTAATAGCTTTAATCCAAGGTCGTGTTCTGCACGTAATTGGTAAGCACCCTTGAATAAACAAAGCACGTTTGCATGCTAATAAACATGGTGTCCAATGCCCTATCTCTTTGTACTCGGGGACAATTGAACACACATTGACCCAAACTTGAGTCGAGTTAGTTCTTCTGGATATTTTGGGCGAATGCCGAAATGCGAGACTGAGCAGGCAATTCACTCCAAGCCAATACGACACCGTGTGAATTACCTGTGGCAGACGCAGGCTCCAGAAAATGTTGCTTACGAGATCGCGCAAGAACAACAAGCACAAATCGCCGTAAATATAAAACATGGTAAAAGACCCCGAGATGTAAGTTGTGGAAGCTGCTTTCGCCTCATGAGTTGACCGCAATGCTCAATCAGCGCTGTCCTCGGCTTTACTCTCCCGCTTGTAGCCATGAGTGTGTGCGGAGCAAGAAAACTGAACGGAGTTCCGCGGTTGTTCGCAGCCCCAAAGATGTCCCTATCTCGTGGCGATTGGTAAGCGGCGTCTGGCCGCTTGCCTTTTCCTCAATGATTCATGCAGAAAGCAGTATGCTTTGAGTGTTGTTACAGCACAGCGTGTGCTGGTGTGTGGAACAGTAACATTTCTAAAGCAAAAAAAAAAAAACATAAAACGGATATCACTGGGTGGGTTCAGATAAGGTCGGTCACGATGGTGTAACGCCAATTTTTTTTTTATTTTCAATTACGTTTTTACATGAGGTAGTGAAACCTGTTGACACAACGAGACAAACCTTAATTTTGCAAGATACTTCATAGTATTCGTGAAAAAAATCGCATTTTAAAGGATGTTGAAAAACAACTTTCCCAACTGCGCGATGACGCAACTTTGAAGGCCAGAGGAATAAAGAATACAGCTCTCTACACCGTCAAACGTTTTACGTGTGATGCAAGAATATTTTTCTGCCACAATTAGTCAAATTCAACTTATATAATGATATATTTCAAGTGAAATAAAATGCCGAACTTGGCCTCTGGAGAAAATCTTACATAACGAGGGATTTTTGGGCGAACTTCTAAGTCGCTTTAAATTTATGTTCTAAAGCTGAAACGTTTTGTGTCCAGTGTTTAATGCCTTGCAAACGCTTAAGAAATTATTTAGCGTTCTACTGTTGAACATATTTTTCTGGATTTCGCCCGAAAATGTCGTCAAAATCAAAAAAGTCAAAATCTTGTGATGTTTGTGCGGCAATCAAAAACAATAAGCATTCTCGATTTTCTTCAAATTTTACCCGATACGCCCTTGATGACCGGTAAATAGAAAACTTCAGAAACTTTTTGCATTATTTTGTTTTGAAACAAAAACATATATAAATGTGTAACCAGGTCGTGGTCGTGTCAATTACCGCTGGGGCGTTTCTGTCTTAACATCTAGTGGTACACGAGCGACGCATGCCACAGTATATCCGTACTTGGTCATGTGAAGGCCCAGGCACCATGAAGCACTCTAAAAATAGCACGTGAACTTGGTTTCATTGCTTATGAGGGGGATATTGCCAACGAAAACTGAACGTTGCAGCGCTTCCCATCCTTATTAGGGTATTATACTTGGCTGGTTAGACGTTCATTGTGCTACCATTTAAAGTTAGTACTTTAATATTAGCGCCTGGTTGACAAAATAAATTGATTCTTACTTCTAGGCACCACTCTAAAGCGTACAATTAGTATCGGTTTTTACAATGAGCGGCCGCTCTATCGCTTACGTAGGCGAGGCGAGAGTAGATTGGTGCGTAGTCCTCGAGGTGTGCCTTAATTTTGACAAGGCTAAGCATGCATGAGCCGAATCATGAGTTAGATGGTCGCAAACAGAGGCATAGCTGCGCGTCGACTTCTTTGACGCTACGACGCACGTAGAAATGCGGTTTTGAACCATAGGCGGAAAATCCTCAATGGGCACTGGAGCGGACACAACTACAGACCCAGGCACGTAGCCAGAATTTTGATTCGGGGGAGGGGGGGGGGGGGGGAGGGGGAGGGAGGGCGGGGCGCCCATGACCAAATGCTGTATAAGGGAGAGGACGGAGAGGAGGCCCCAGCAAAGTAAAAGATTTCGGGTGGCTGGGGGTGTCCCTGTGCCCCCCCCCCCCCCCCCCTCCCGGCTACGTTCCTGTAGAGACCGATGCGTCAAACATGTTTCCTACATTCGTCGTACACACCGGCAAAACTCTCAAACAGTCCTTGCTCCCCCCTTCGTTCTCTGTGTTTGTTCTTCCGTGGGGCGGGGCTGGTGTGCTACCGCAGGAGGAATGACTTTAGTTTTTGTTTATTATCGGCACACGCCCGGCCGGTTATGTTTACAGCACGCAGGGTCGCCGCCGGTGACGCGTAACGCCCCCGCGACTGGGTGAGGTGCGCTCGCCTTTGCGCGCGCGGGTGTAACATTCGGCCTCACTTTCTGCCACAGAGAGGGGAATTGAGGGCTGTTACTCATTTTTTGGCAAGTCTGCACCAAGAAACACTTGTTTTCCTCCGGCGTTGTCTTCAATTATACTCTGACTTGTAGTCCAGTTATACGCCATGCGTCACAATGCCATAATATGTCACTAGCTTAACCTTCCGTTCACGCCACGCCCTCCATCGGTCGGGCCAAAAGCTTCTGTAACATCGCTCGGTCCTAGCGGTGCCTAGAACAACGAATCAAATTATTGTGTCAGCCAAGTACTGGTATTAAATGACTAATTTGAAAATGTAGCTCGATGAGCATCTAACCAGCCAAGTATAACACATTAATAAGAATCGGATTCGCCGTAAAGTTCAGTATTCATTACAAATACCAGCGAAATCAGCGATCAAAACAAGTTCCTGTGTTATTTATGAAATGGTTTATGGCACCTGACGACCAAGTACGGATAGTGTGGCATGCGTCGCTCATGTACCACTAGTCGATAAGACAGAAATGCTCCTGCGGTAAGTGATGCGACCACGACCTGGTTACACATTTATTTTTACAACAAAGCTTTTAAGGGCTAGTTTCCCCAGAATCGTGTCCGGTACCAAACAAATGTCGACACTCGTGGCCGATACAACACTCTGGTTGCCGCTGTTGCTCATAGATGGCGGTAGCTGTCCGAAATGTTGTGTTTGCCAGTTGTCTGCTTGCCGCCGTCGCTCATAGAGCAAGGCAACTTTTCTTCGGAGGAAAAAGAGCGGGAACAGAACGAGCGGCGATGTGCGCAGCAGCGCGAATGGTTGCGCAACTTCCGCGAAGCCGCTATCGCCTAAAGTTACACTGTGTAGGGCGCTTCAGATTCCATTGCGAAAGAAGAGCGCACCGCTCGCCTGGAAAGCCATCGCCGAGAACAGAAGCTACAGCTCCGCTGCTGTGCCTTCTTCACCAGAATGGAAAGCTTGAACGTTTTTTTTTTGTTTTTTTTTCGCCTTTTATAAGAAAATAATGCAACATGCCTTTGCAGATTTGTACTTACCGATCATGAAGGGCCTATCGGGTAAAATTCAATGAAAATCGTGAATATTTTTTAATTGCCACACAAAATTCGCAAAATTTTGACTTTCTCGAAATTGACAAAATATTCACCGCTAACTAATTTGTTAAACGTCCGCAAGGCATGAAACACTCGGCAGAGAAAGTTTCAGCATTGGAACATAAATTAAAAGCGACTTTAAAAAAATCGCCAAAAATGCGTCAATATGTAAGATTTGCTCCAGAATTCAAGTTTTGCAT